TGTGTAAAAAATATATATATATAATTATTATTATAATTATAAAACAATCGATTAATCGATTTCAAATGCCATCAGCTGTTTTTTAAAATTCGATTATTGAAATTGAACAATTTCAATTTCAATAATCGAATTTTAAAAACACCGAAACTGACAATAGGAAATTGATTGATTTAATATTTCATTTGGCAAAATTCCAATTATTATTATTATTATTTATTTATTTATTAATGTCATTTGTCTTATAACGTAGGCTCCACAATATACTAACACCTTCTCTGTGTTAATTCATTCTTACTGCTTTACAATTAATGAGAAAACTGTATTAATTAATTCTCATAATGTAATTTATTATGAGAAATACAGTTAAAAGCAATTGAGTAGCTTCCAAATTCTTTAATGCTGTGAAACTAGGTATTTGGCATAGAAACTTTTACTAAAATATATCTTTTTTTTAGAGCCGATTAGTCTCCTTTGATTTTTAGAAGTTTAAAATATATTAATTCGGTTTCTTCCCTCTATATATATATTAATTTTATATATTAGTCTCGTTGCTTATCGTGTGCGGTTATATACAAAAAATTCTATAATCCGAGACAATTCTCTTGGTATAATTGGATTTGCGAGTTGAGAGTTTTCGATTTTCCGTCGGTAGAATATTATAATTTTACTTAAGAAATTATTTATAATATATATAGGAATTCCAGAATATAATCTTATAAAACTTGATAATTAAGTAAATTTTTTAATTTAAGAAGTCATTTTTAGTTGTATCCAAAAATTAAACTTTTTATTTAGTTTAAATAATATACCTTTTATTTACAGTATTTGTGTTAAAAATTAAGTGCATTATAGGATGAAATATTGTTAAATTTTTAATTAATCATATTATTTTGTTTATTTGTTATACTTATAAGTAAAATTTTAATTAAATCCTATATAAACATGACAAAAAAAATTTTTAAGTTTTTAAAAACAATTGCTGTAAAAACTATTTTTATAAGTTACTTATTTTCAGTCTTTTAGAAAATTTCTCTCCCTCCTTTTTTTTCAATAATTTAACTAATTCTTTATTAACATTAAATTATTCTTTAATCCGTATGTACATTAACGAAGTATGCATTATCTATTTTAAATAAAATTGCGAGTGCCTTAATATATGCCCCGGTACGCATGTGCCCTCCAAAAATCGTATTACCGGTTTGAGCTTAGATAGATTAAGCTAGTTTCTGAGTGGCGAATGCCTTTATTGGATAATTAGGTTGATATTATTACTAAAATTTAGTTTTAAAATATGTGAAAATGTAATTATGACATACCATTTTGCAATAACTTCTTCTCATTGTGCGTGTATTGTCTGTAAGTGAATGCAATAGATAAAAATTTGTATAATTGAAAACATTTCATTATTTAAGAAATTAAAATTATTGTATTTATTATATTGATTTGAAGTTTTAATCTTTGTTCTGAAATATAATTAAAGTATTAGCATTTGATTTGTTTGTTTTTTTATTTTATAGAAATAAAAATATATATTAAAAAAAATAAGCATAATTCAATACAAATTTTTGGTTTATATAAATTGATTTATATAAAACTATTAAAATAAATCTCTTCTAAATATTTTAAATTGTATAATAAGAGAATAACATGATTACTTATGTAATTCTGAAGTATAATATATATTTAATAAGGAAGAATTAGTTTTAGAGGTTTTTATAAATGAAAGGAAGAATTTAAAATTATAGCTTTGTATTAACCTAGTGTTTTTTTTTTTCTTTTTCCAGATTAAATTATGCTAAATCTGAGATCCTTTTTTGCATTTTTGAGGCATGGCTCTTCTGTTAAATCCGTAATTAGTCACTCTTCCGAAGTTAACGGTCGTTTGCTATATCACTTGTCTTCGCAGAAAATATTTGAAAGAGAAGAAAAGTATGGGGCTCATAACTATCATCCGATACCAGTAGCAATACAAAAAGCAAAAGGTATAAAATTAAAGAAAATTTTTATCATCTTGTAAATATTTATTATAATTGTTTTCTGATACAGGAATTTATGTGTGGGATGTTGAAGGCAAAAGATACTTTGATTTTCTTAGTGCTTATAGTGCTGTTAACCAAGGACATTGTCATCCAAAAATTTTAAATGCATTAATTCAACAAGCAGAAATTGTGAGTTTGACTTCAAGAGCTTTCTATACAACTGCTTTAGGTGAATATGAAGAGTATATTACAAAACTGTTTGATTATGATAAAGTTTTACCAATGAATACAGGTAAGCACTTAAAAAATAAATTTATACTCAAGTACAAATCATTAATTTTTACTAATGTATTCAGAATTTTAGATGCTAGATGAATTATTTTTAGGAAACTGTTACAGAATTTAAAAGAATTTTTTTTATTATTCAGGTGTGGAAGCGGGTGAAACGGCATGCAAACTGGCAAGAAAGTGGGCTTATAAAGTGAAGAAAGTTCCTAATAATCAGGCAAAGATCATTTTTGCCGAAGGAAATTTTTGGGGTAGAACTCTGTCGGCAATATCTACTTCGACCGATCCTACGAGTTTTGAAGGTTTCGGACCATATATGCCCGGATTTGTGATAATTCCTTATAACGATTCGGTTGCATTAGAAGTCGGTATTATTTAATAAAGTTTTTTATTAGTAATTACTATTCAAAAACTATACAAATGAAATATTCTTTAGAAAGCTGCCCAAGATCCCACTGTCTGTGCTTTTATGGTTGAACCAATTCAAGGTGAAGCTGGTGTTGTTGTACCTGATCCTGGTTATTTAAAGAGAGTCAGAGATATATGCACTAAAAATAATATTTTATGGATAGCTGATGAAGTACAAACTGGTTTGTGCAGAACTGGAAAGTAAGGATTAAATTTTTAAATATTTTGTCTAAGCTATTAGCTGATTATATTTCTAAATTATTTAAAACTGGTTTGACAAGAAATACAATAAACATTTTATTTTTGTATATACATGTCTTGTAAATCACAAATATAAACAAGCAAATAATTTAACCAAGTATTTTTTTTCTATGTAATTTTTGGATTAGGAAACTTTTATAAAAAGTTGATTTTGTAAATTTAGCATTTATCTTATAAATTTACATTTTTTTTTTTTTTTAAATAGCTAAAGGCTAATAAATCGGAGAGGCTAAATTTATTCTAATTGACAATAACTTAACCATTACATATAGCTTTTTAGCATTTCTAACCTTTAATTTCATCTAGACACAAATTTTTTTTTCATCACCATTTTGTGTATTTTTAGTAGTAAAAACAAAATTTATTGTAATGATATTACATCCAAAACTTTAAAATTATGCTTAATATCAAGATAGAAAAGTATCTTTATTTTGCAATTAGTTGCTGTTTGCTTTCATATTCTCAAACTTAATATTAAATTAAACCTACATAACGATATTGACAAACAATAGAGAGGTTGAGGCGCACGTTTTAAACGTATAAACGTGTACGTGTGATGTTCGGCGCCGCTTTCCCGTAAGCCTAAAAGTTTGACNGGGAAGCAGTGCATCCACTGCTTCCAATGACGGCACACCACTGAAATATGTACATTTACAAGAGTACAAGAGGCACACTAACTATAAGGATTTCAATACCGTTTTTACAGCATGAAGAGCCTGGTTCAAGCCATAATCATATAACTAGAATGGTGTTTCTTCTACACTTATCGACATTTGGGTCATTACTTCTCTTCATTATTATATATTCGTTTTTATTTTTCCTATATACAGTGGAACCTCAGGATACGAAATTAATCCGTTCCAAAACTGAGATCGTATCATGAAAATGTTGTAAGGTGAATCATTTTTCCCCATACAATTACATGTAAAACCAAATAATTCGTTCCAACACGAAAAACACACTCAAATTAAGGCTAAGTAGTACATTAAAAAAATAACTATAGTAAGGAAAACACTGAAAAATGCATTTTGTAATTGTAAATGTATAAATAACCATAATAGAATAATAATTGATTAAAATAAATGTAGTTTTATTTGCACTTTACCTTTAAGGAAAGACGATGGTGGAGGTGTAAACTGGTGGCAGAAGAGAGGGAGAAGGGAAATGATACTAAAACTTAACTTACATAACATAATGTAACAATAACTTAAAAATAATTTAACACTAATTTTTTTATCTTTTATGTTTCATAGATTTTTTAAATTTTTACTCACTCTTTTTGCTTTCTTTCCTTCACTTCCACCAGCACTTTCACTGGATACAGGTCGCTTGATAAAATATCTATCCAAAGAGGTTTGGCTTTGCCTACTTTTTAAAATGTTTCTAAAATGACTTAGACAAATGTCATTACTCCGAGCAGCAATACAGCCAGTGTGAACCTTTTCGAGATGTTTCTTTTCAATAAAATCAGTCACTTTCTAATAATACCTAAAGATTTCCTTTATCGAGCAAGATCCTTCCACGACGAAGCAAACATGCGGACTGAGACCAATGAACAGAAGTGAATAAAAAATGGCGCTGTGAACTAATGTAACGTCGTATGGTGAGTTTTTGTTCGTATTGTGAAGCAAAAATATATTTGAATTTCGTGTCGTATCCTGAAAATTTCGTATGCTGGGGCGTTCGTATCCTGAGGTACCACTGTATATTTATTATATAAGTTTTCCTTGTACAATACGTCATTTGTACAACATGGTTTCATTCTAACAGTGATATCTTGTTACTTGAACAATTCTGTATTCAAACACATATTCTGGAAAAAATTGCTTGGTACTTGACTGAACAAATGTCATCCGCAAGAACAAATTTTTGATTAATAACATATTTTTATTTTGTCACCCGTAAAAATTTTTATGATAAAAATAAAAAATGAAGATGTTGCTGATATTTCTGATCAAGATGAACAGAAAAGCTCAGAAGATTGACAATACTTTGCAAAAAGAAAACCCCCTTATTTAACTAAAATTAATATGTGGGATTAACATGTAATATAGTACTTTTAATTGTCATTGTTAGTTAACTATTAATTGAAAATAAATTATTGATTGCTTTAATAAACATATTTCTCTTAGTAACAAAAAATAATAGTACACAAAAATATTAACACTGTCTGTAGGCATTATTATTTTACTTGAAATATTACTACAAGTACTTTCGACAAATTTCAGATTGTCTTCTTCGGGTATAGAATAATAGAACCTTACAATTTAAAATATACATTAATGTGTTCCAAGTGGCAAATTTAAAATGTATTCCACAGGATGCGCCAATACATTGAAAAAACTATAATAATAATAATAATAATAATAATACCACATATTAAACATTCCATAACTTTAAAACTATGCCATTTCTAATATACTGTATACAGTGCCAGCCCGAGCAAAGTCAGCGCCCGAGGAAAATTACTTTGATGTTGCCCAATTTTAAAAAAATTTGCAACAATATAAAACACCAATGTAAAATAATCTATTTTACATTGGTGTTTTATATTGTTATATTGTTTTTATTCAATATGCAGCAAGCAATATTGCAATCATGGGACTACGGTGCTACTTTCAAAATGGCGACTTGCAGGTCAACACATGAGAAAGGAATGTGATCAAAAAACATTTATTTTTTCATTATTTATTGTAATTTATGTATGTACTTTCGTCATGCTGCCTCCTGAATTCAAGCATCCCAGGCCATCGCCTAGTTTGCCTATATGAATGGGCCGGCCCTGACTATGTTCATATGCACTTTTATGGTTGAAATTATTCAAAGAATTGGCCCTTTAAATTTTTTACAAACAGTAAAATCTTGTAACGGATGGCTTGGATCATCAAAAATCATTTGTCGTCCGAGAATCTTTTATATCACAAATAACAGATTTCCCACACACCCAGGAAATTATTATTTAACTCCCTACTTATAAGAAATATCTATAGTTGAAATTATTCAATCTCTTGAAATCTCTATTCTTTATTCTATAGAAACACATGTTACAAAATGGTATATTATGCCATAAATGTGTACAACAAAGCTGACAGATACTATATAGTGTAAGCACAAAAAGAGGCAAATTACTTATGCTCATTAGCACCTCACTCAAATTTACAATTAGTTAAAAAACTCGTTCGTCGCAGTTTGTTTCGATGTCACTTTTCTACCCATCAAGTACAACAACCACTCGATGTTAGCAATGTCACGTACAGCCCATTCATTTATGCCAAAACTAGTCAGAAAGATCTTCACAACTCGATGGCCCAGCTAAATTTGGGCACTACACTCAAACCTGAACCAAAACATCCACCGAGTGGCTCTTCGATGGTATTGGCCCACCGACTCTCTTCATAAAATTCTTCAACGGTACACATCCCAGATGTAAGATGTACACTGTCAAACTCTATAAATTCCCGAACACACCCAAATATCAACTAAACATGGAAAAACCAAACAGTTTATGATAGACGGGGCTAGAAAAATATCCATTATTCCAAGATCCATCAAAACAAGATTCTATGATATGTAGAATCACCCCATTCACGCAACAAGCACTTAATGTAGTAAATTTCACATAAGAGAATAAAATAAATTGATAAACAAGAAAATACAAATACAAAATTCATTAGTAGGGTTACCATACATCATACTTTAAAGGCTCCATCCGCATATGTACCATACATAAAAAAAAAAAAATAAGTACTCTTTGACCGACGGCACAGTTAATAGCAAGGTTGCGGCCAAAGTTTTCAACGCAAAAACATGAACATCGGACATTCAGCGCTGCCATCCCGTAAGCCTAGAAGTTTGACAATGGCATTTGAAAATTCGAGCACAATTTCACCGACGTTCCAAACGCCATCGTCAAACTTCTAGGCATACAGAATGACAGCACCAAATGTCCGACGTTCACGTTTTTGGATCGAAAACTTCGGCCGCAACCTCGCTAATAGTCAAATCGCAACCACATTTAAATCCGACAAAAGCTGCTAAAGTTTTGACGATTATTATTGCATTTGTTGTCTAGGCGGCGACACGGTATGAGCAAACGCGACGGCTCCGGTGCTTAGAGAACGCGCGCACATTCAACAGTTTTTTAATTCAACGGTACTTGTTGTATAAGTGGTAAAATAGTTTTCTTATATTTGAAATTGCATCGTGTGCCCCAAAGCAAAGTGTAAATTGAAACTTTTTATGTCTACATTTACTTGATTGAAAAATATGAATAAATTCATTTTATTTTGCCTTCAATTGTTACCTTATTATTGGCTAACGATACAAATATACTATAAGGTATTAAAAAATAAACATACTTCGTCAGAAGTTGTGTATTCCCCGTTACACATTGCTTCATCTTGATCACCAAGTCGATCCAAACAAGATTTTGTTCTTACTGCACGTGCTTTTTTATTTATTACGGAGAAAATATATTGAAGTTGATTCGAAGCAAAAGTTTGTAAATCTGAAATGATTAAATGAAATTCATGATTATTTGCTTTTCTTACAGAATTGATATTTAAGAAATTTTACGTCATCAACTAACTAAATTTCCTGTAAATCATTCTTTAAATTAAAATTCTCCCTAGACCTTCACGTTACGTACAACTATACTTACGCCCTCTTCTGGACAAAGTTTTTTTTAACCTAAGCAGATATTCTTTTTGGCAATATAACAGGAAGGAAGCAATTCTTTTTAAAATATATTAATTATTTTAAAAAATAAATTTAAATGTTAGGAATAATAATACATTTGTGGTACACTATTATTCACATTTGTAAATTTTTTTTTTTTTTTTGGTACTCTCCGCCCTGCGGGCATTAAGAGGGCCTCTTTTAGCATGCCCATTATGGGTCGGCCAGGTCCAAAATGGGCGGCCGGGTGGTGATTGGCGGGGGCCGACATATTTGGTCAAATCCGGTCGGATCACCCCCCGAAAAATTCCCGGGAATTTTTCGGGGAGTGATCCGACCGGATATGTCGGCTCCCGTCCCTCGTCACCCGGCCGCCCCATCGTGGGCTTGCTATAAGAGGCCTTTTTAGGGCTCACAGAGCGGAAAGAACAAAAACAAAAATACCCAGTCCCCAGACCGATGAGCTACCACCTTAACTAACTTTAACTAAACAACGCACATAGGAAAATTTTAGAAATTTAATCTAACAGCAAATTATAATGGCTTATATAGTTGTCTTATCGTTCATTATCCCCGATGGGCCAAAATAAAGGCTCCTTAGGGCCCATAGAACAGAAAAAATATCATCTCAAAATAAAATTATGTAATCGAATTTAATGTATCATTTTTAGCATCTAAGATAGGAAAATTCGAGCGTTAATTGAAACCCTTATAACACGAATATTTTGAATACATAATACATTTTATTATAATAGTTTTAACTCTGAAAATAAAAATCCATATCCAAATAAAAGAAAAATCCATCAAGTTGCTTAAGTTTCCCGGTAACATTTAAAACATGTATGTGACGCCATCTGTTACGATATTTCGTTATTAAAAACTTTTTATAGTTTTAATTATTATACAATGACAAAAAAGCTTAATTTTGAGGGTAGGGATGGGTTTTATTCCGCTTATTTAATTAACTTATAACCTATATTCTTTAACACGACTCTTGAAATAATTTAAATGCTTATCGTATACTCGGAGAATGGTACATAATTTGCGATAAACTGTCAATTTTTATCAACCTCTAAGAGTGGGCTGGCGATAAGAACAACGATTCAAAGTTTAAGTTCGTTGTAAGTTAATATTTATTTCGAAATATACTTAAACGTACAAATAAAAATTGAAATTTCAATAATGGCGGCTTTACTGTTTTGTAAGAAGTAAACAAGAGTGTTTTTATTTTGCTTAAAGAAAAAAAAAAAAAACGTACGATGTACAGGGGCAAGCCACTATTAATTTGAGTGGAGAGAGTATATTTTAAATTAAATACAGTATACGATTCAAAATTGCAGCCTGGTATTGCGACCGTTCTCATTCAATTATGAAAAATACACTTTTAGTATTTCTTCTCGATTATTACGTGAAAGTTTAATTAATATTCTAGTTTTTCCGGAGAGAATATTTATAAATTTTTCCTTTTATCGATGATAAATTACGATAAGAATATAGAAATAGTTGAAGATATTTGTGAAGGATGTAGAAGACCGAGTAAGAGCTCTCGATCTTGTTTACACCTTTCTGTACTTTAGACAGAGTACAAAAGGCGAAGAAGGATTTAAAATAGAACTTTTAGAGATTTTGTAAATTTGTTCACATAATCTTCGTTTGATAACATTTTAGAGTAGGTTTTCGTAATTGTTTGTTTATAAACGTATTACATTGAAAACTTGGAGAAAGTTGAAACGAATATTTTTATTTTTTTACTCCTAAATTATGTATATAAATAAAAAAATCACATACAAAAACAATTTATCTTAAATTCATATTCGAATCCTATCCTATCTGTGAACAATTATTACCAGTCGACACCCCTATAACACCATTGATAATTCCGTTTTATATGAATTCCATGTTGTACGAGTTACTTAGATTTTACAAATACGTGAGCCGTTCACAGCCCGATACGCGTATTTGTAAAATCTAAATGACTCGTACAACATGGAATTCATATAAAACGGAATTATCAACAGTGTTATAGGGGGGTCGACTGTATTACTGTATTATTAATTTGATTTGGCATTTAGATATTAAACATCCTTTTAAAACACAGGATCTCCCTGCATTTTGGCGAATTTCCCACTTATTCGAGACCCAATTTATTTCAGAAACATTCTTCACCCCTACCAAATGGAAGGATATAAAGAAAATTGTGTTAATCTATCTACTTTATGATCTAATTACTAAAAAAGAATACAGATAAATAATAAAAACAATGACACCCTAGCAAATTACAGAAACAGCAAGCGGGTTATTCCTTAATTTTATGTCCTAATCCTTAAAACAAAGGAAACAATCACGGGAAAATTATGAATAACACGATAAACATTATTGTATGAATTGGATAAACAGGTAAAATTAATACTAATAGCCCGAATTTTTGAAAAAAATTGAATTACTTTATTGTGAAATAAAGAATGAATTTCACCGGTACCATAACTTTTCCAATTCTTTCTTGTTAATAAAAACGTAATACTCTTCTATTGCAATTATTTATAAACTTTAAAAAATCTTGTAAAATTGTGCATAGACTGGTTAATATTAAATCTAGATAATAAAATGAAAGAAAGTTTAACTTGTACGGTACATACGGTATTTCAAATTGGCATCTTTCGCTCGCTAGCACACTCTTCCTCCAAGGGCAAATTTTATTTTGCATAAACATAACTTATTAATAGTTATGTTTAATGTTAAACTATTAATAGTTATGTATAGTTAAACTAACATAAACCATTAAATTATTTTTTAAAGTATTTCCAAAAATTAAATAATAAGGTAAAAGATAATCGCGCTGCTTTGTATCGTGTCGTCAAATCTCGCAATTCAAATTTCATTCACTTCTAATTAAGCCAGAAGGCCGAAACTTTGAGAACATACCTAAGTCCGATGACAATGCATTTTAATGATGTTTTAGAGGTTGGCTTCACCATCATCGTCCTCCCCCATCCCAAAACACGAACAATTTAACACAATGCGTGTGTATAAACACTGTAGTAGTGTATATGATGGGTACTTCCACCGTCCACTTTCCCGATTGAAGAGTGGGCCCGTATTTATCATCCGAAACGCTTTGTTCCGGTTTAGTATCAAGAAATTAAGGTGTAATAAAATAAAATAAAAGCCGAATAAAAAGAGATAATTAAATCTTAATTACTTCCCCGGCTGTTATATATAATAGAGGGAAAGTATGGCTTTCGGTAAGAAAATGACCCCCAAATTTTTATATTTTTGGGCTCGGGACACCTTGAAATTTCGAGATATGCAAAAAATTCAAGGTTTTTTTTTCTATGTGTGGATGTTAGACTCTGTGTGGGGGGCATGATTTTGTTCACCCTGTTTGAAGCCTAATAATTTCTGTGGTCAGAATCAGAGTCAGATGATTTAACTCAGGAGTTAGTTATTAAGCGTCAAAATGGTTGAACTAAATCATGTTTCCATATACATTCTAACATCTTAGGCAAGAACATCTTAACAGGTTTTACTTTACTATTATAAAATGGCAAAAAAGCTTACTTTGAGGATAGAGACGAGTTTTATTTTACTTTTTGTAAATTTAGAACGCTAATAACGAGTAAAATATTCATTAACAGATATGACACATGACTACTTTTATGTCTTCACCCTGTCGACCTTTCATTAAGAACCAAAATTTAATAGTATTAATGCCCCTTTATACGCAAGCTACAGTGCCACATTTCGTTTCTTAAACTTTACCCATTCTGAGATATTGTTTAATATCTCAGAACAGAAAATAAAGAAATTAAACAAATTAGACGCCA